AATTTTAAACTCCATGGTACTAGAGAACACCACAACGAATGAGCACAACACTGCCAACTAAACAAATATATTTTGTTGGAGGCTATTCGCAAACCGTGTCCAAACCTCATAAAGGGTGGTTTTATTTTGCACCTGGATGCCAGCATCTCACAAGTATGCAGATCTTACATAGACTTAACGTTCAAACACTAAACCACCAATCATAGCCCTCAGAGTTAGCTTATTTCTTCTTCCGGCTTTTTTTTAAAACTAAGAAGAACCCATTGTCAAAGCAGACAAAGGCTAAGTAATGCAATCATCAAGTCGCTACGAATTCTATAAGGTGATTTGCTGCAGCACGTGTTATGACTTAGGTCAAAATTTGGAGAGGTAAACTTAGTGAACAGAAATTTTCTTTTAGAAGTACTACTAACACTATAGAAGACAGTTAAGTAACTTTTTCTTTTAAGTGTTTGATATAGATCCTTTTGATCAATCTTCATTTGCTAATTGCTAAAGATAGTTGGTTGTTCGTTCCTGTATTTCTCTGACTCTTTATTGCGTACACAAGGCTTTAATTCCCAGCAGATCTCTTTGATGAGCATACTCTAATCTTACGGTAGTTTAATTAATGTATTAATTGTACTGTCTTACTTTTTGTCGTAACTAAAGGATTTCTAAGGTTTGTTGTTTGTTCTTTCGTGTATTTGTTGATCATCGTGTCTTACCTGGTGTTAATTAATTTTGTTCAAGCGGCTCAATAAGCCATAATTCTTGCTCTGTGTCTTCCATTTGAACTTCGTGCATTGGGCTTAACATGTGGGTGATGCATTCAGTTTGTAGACTTAGACTTGGGTCGTACATTTCAGAAAATATTTCAGAAATCAAGGAATTACTTTACCTATAATTTATGTATTGTGTGATATTTAATGTCTTCTAAAACCGATCATAAAACGAAATAGTTTGAATACAATAAAGCAATAGTTACAACAACATTCAAACTGTCTTCTTGTCCTAAGTAATCATGCAAGATTGAAAATACTTAACATCGCTCAAAATATAATTATCTTGGATTTTAATGTTTAATATTTGTTCAGAAAGATATTAAAGAAGCACTAAAAATCTTACATTTACTCATGGAAATATACTTTTTGTGTTGAAACTATAAAGTTTAATTAGCATCTGATTAATAAGAGCTAATGCAATTAAAATAACAACAACGTTGCCAAAAGGGTCATCAAGGCCAGGCTAAATAAAGCCGGAGGTGCTTTCAGCAGAGTCTGCTCTATATAAAAGTCAAAACAATATAGCCTCAAGACATAGATCAGACTTTACAACAGTAATGTAAAGTTTGTACAGTTGTAGAACTCCATGTGTTGCAGAGTAGTGAGTAAAGACATCTGCAAAGTAGATTCGTTCCACAAAAGTTGCCTCCGTAAAATCTGCAACATTTAATGGCAAGACAATATCCCCAATGTGAATCTTTATGAAAAGTCGTCTCAGAGAGACAATAAGGATGCTCCAAGAGTGGGTATCCAATATAGCCCTTACTGGTAAGTACAAATGCGAACGGCCAAAGATAACATGGCAAAGGACAGTGATGACCGAGCTGGAAGAGATGAGACGTTTTCCCAGACAGGACGGGAAGGACATAGTAAAATAACCTGAAAGCAAAAAAATATGGCAAACGTTGAAGTAAATAATGCATCTACTTCAAAATGAAACTATCCAGTATGTACAGGGGCATATAACTTGCTGGAAGAGATGGGACGTTTTCCCAAACAGGATGGGGAGGACAAACGAACCAATGCAAGTAAAATAACCTGGAAGCTAGAAAATAAGGCAAACGTTGAAGTAAATTATACGTCTACTTCGAAATGAAACTATCCAATGTGTATAGCGGCATGTCACTTGGTTTTATTTACCCTGTTATTGAAATGAGATGTGTTGAATTACTGTGTTAATTATATTTTTTTTTAATTTAACCGGTTTTTTGTTCTGATTGAGGGTTGTATTTACCTGACTGTTGTTATCATTTAAGTAAACAAGATATTCAGGTAGCAAGGTCAGTCCAATTTTGTTTGCAATCAAACTTGACCCAGTAGTTTTCAATTAGGATGACCATTTTTCCAGAACATAATTCAAGTGAAAGATTATTTGTTCCTCGTTTATATCAGTCTTTGTGAATTTATTATTATAGATCATAGCTGTGTTCAGATATAATTGTTCAAGAATTATTTAATTTTTTCTTTGGAATTACAAAGTGATCATTGAATTAAACACCACTTTGGAATTATGGAGGACTCAGTAGAAGACCTTCTGGATTATACCATTGTGATACATCAAGACAATCTTCATTTTGGAATTCATTAAGAATATTGTCTACTATTGGACTATGATTGGACAATTAGATTACAGTTTATTTAATTCACAATACTGTAAGTTCATCTTCAATTTGCACTTTGTATGTTAGAGAAATAATTTTTACATTTTACTTAAATTGTTTGTTCCATATTCTTCTTTAAGGTCGCAAAACTATAGTTTTGAACAAAAGAAAGATATACAAAGTTTCTATCAAAATGACTTGGATACTATCAGTCTCATTCAACAATATTTTCTCTTGATTCTGAGACTTTGTATATAAAAAGGTAAGACGCTAACTTATGTGATCTGAATCGAGCAAAAGCTTGTTAAAGATACAAGATTCAGGTTGACAGCAAAATAATGCCGATTTACGTTGATAGTATCTAGAGTTACAGAAGGAATTTTTTTCCAATTTAATTTTCTATATGTTTATAGATATATACAAACATTTAATATTTACTTGCCAATGATGATTGATGATCCGAACCCAGTAAGAACCCAGGGTCAGACAATGTAAATTTATGGATTCAATGAAGTATGAAAATGTAAAGAAGCATTACAGAGAAGTGAAAAATAGACTGTATAAAGTTTTTTTTTATTTTTCTTTGAATGGAGATATTTTCAGAACATTACTCTCTCTCTCTCTCTCTCTCTCTCTCTCTATATATATATATATATATATATATATATATATATATATATATATATATATATATATATATATATATATATATATATAAAGCATGATGTAATTATCTTCATACATGTACTGTCTCCACCTTATAGGTTTTATCTTTTCTACCAAAAAGAAATGGATTTTCTTTACTTTTACACCGTAATAGGATTAGCGTACCATGACCTTACAAACAAAAGCAATCTCTTTGCTTTCCTTCCAGGACAAAGCCTGTCACATGTTATGTACATTTTTGTTAAGTATATAAACCATTTAGAAAAATACTTTTCATGAGAGATACCCCCCTATTCAGATATATAATATTATAAATTACCATCAGGTCTACATCAGTACTTTCAGTTCACTTGTCTTTGAAGTACAGACATTATTTATGAAATACTGTACACGACGTTTTGAACCTTTAACACCTTCAAAACTCATCTTTGCGAACACGTTTCCGCCAGTTTCAAGAGGTCTCAACGCATTGAAAAGTTGGATGGCAGAAAAAGGAACTGAGCCCACCGGAATAGCTATAAATGACAACTGAAGGATAATGGATGGATTTTACTGAAGAACTTCCTTCGTGTGCGACAAATCAATAAGCGTCTGTTTGTTATGATAACTTTCAAGGTGCTTTACGAGAGTAAAGAGCTAACTGGAGCGGGTCTTGTATACGACCATCTTTCATACAGTATTTGTAAAAGTGGATTTACTCGGAAATTTATCGTATATAAATGTTATTTCCTTTCTCACAACACTGGAATGGTTTTAGATAACGACAAATATCAACATATTTTTGGTTTGTTTCGAATCATGTTCTAGCCTTTATGAAGTAAAATGATTCCACATTTTATGCGATATACTTTGTATTTCATGATCTTTATAATTCAGCCCGAAAAGAATCAATCATGACTACAAAAAACATGGAAGAAGGTTATAAAAGTAAACAATATACTTTGACCTAGCACTTTAGTTTTCGCAAACTCTTTGCTGCACAGTATATCACGTTGATTAACAAATTAATTTAAAGATGCGCAAAACGATATGCTCATTTATTAATAGAACACATGTTCGATGATATTTGATATATTTCTGCTTCTAGTATGTACACTCAGAAAAGGAATAGCTTACAATGTGGAAGAACTACATACTAGACTATATGTGTAATGAATGGCATTTATGTCATAATCTAGAGGTTGATATGCTAAAATAACTGTCGTGGAAACTTTTCTTTAAACGTAGTATACATATACACCGCAAAATAGCAATAGCGTCGAAGCGTAAAGAAAAATGTATTTTGATTTTCTTTATATATACCATCGAGATTGGCACAATACCGACAGTAAAACATACAATGATAATTGAATATCTTAGGAAGCTGATTTGTCTATTTCGTGATGAAACGTATGAATTACGTAATTAACTCTTTGTAAATTTTCCTGCACCGCGAACATCATCTGTGGTATAAGATATCATTTTATAAATAGCAACAACTTTTACTTCTATTAAGTGTTGAGAATATGTTATAATATCGTTAAGAGCATAGATTAAAATAGTGACGTAACGCAATTTAAAGCCATAACGTAATTTCAACTTGCGTGCAACGTGGCATTGCACGGCATTAAATAGTTATGAAATATAGAAGTGAAAGTCAAGTTGCGCACAAACAATAGTGATGTAGTTGCATGCATTGAACTCTTAAATCACTCAAAGCTCGTAATACTGTGTCATAATTATACACATAAAATCAATTGTATGTGAGTGGGTTTTGGATTTTTAAGGTGACATTAACAATGTTTCAGTAATATAGCGACGATGTCTGCAGAGAGGCAGTTCTTAGTGATGACTAGCCCTGGGATATCTTGATGCACACATGTAACATCATGCCCCACCCAGTCACGTTATCCTGACACCAGATCAGCCAATCCTGACACTAATATCTTAATGCTGAGCGCCAAGCGAACAGCTGCTACTACCACTTGGTATGATTAGGCCGGAATTAAAACCAGCCACCTCCCACATCCAAGGCAGACGCTCTAACCACTTAGGCTACCGGAGCAGTCATAAAAATTTACAAATATTTCTTAATATTCATTATTATACATTTAAAACTGCAAGAGCTTTTAAAACAGCTAGAACGTAAGAAAGACGTATGAATATATGAATAACCAAAATGTTCGGAGAATCTTAATGAAAGAATTGAAGATTTATTTAAACAATTGCACGATAATATATATTTTACCGTGTAAGATATTAGAATGTCATCCATTTGTAATATCATTATTGAAGATATTTATCAGTAGCACATTTCGACATTTTATTTCTATTCAACTTCAGTTCAATTTATCGACAGATTTATGGAGTAACCATTTAAAGAATTTAGCAATCTTGAGTATATTTAACTTTACCATAAAGCGAGACCGATTAACAAAATAAACAGAGATGGAATGGTTAATTCCTTCAACATTTATTGGGCACATTCCATACCAAGTATCTGAGTGTTCATGAAATTGTTGAGCCAATTCCGTGAAATCGGTAAGAAATAAATAAAATAGACAAAGATGTGTCTTACTGTTGGTAGTATTTCAGTTTATAGTGTTCGAAAAAACTACAAAAGATAGTAAGTAATACAGTAATGGCATAAAAGATTATTAAAATTTAGTAACTCCACATACAAATTGAAGCACATACAGAAACATATCTGTAAAAAAGTATGTTTAAGTACCAGAAAACTTCTTTGAAACAAAGGATTATGTTGCAATTTAAGTAATTCGATAATTATAATGCATATGAGAAGATAAGTAATGAAATGGATGAACTATCATCAAGTTCCGTAAGATATTTATTGTGCTTTTAAAAGTATCGCCATTAAAGGGTTTGCATTTACTTCAAATCAATACAATATATATTTTTACCTTCACGAAGCTTTTATGCTGAGGCAAAAACACAACTCATTTTATTTTATACGATATCCACCATACAGCATACCAACGAACTCTATTCTAATCCACCTAATCCATTTAATCCTGAATAATGGTTGTTTTGGGCCAAATCAGAAAGTCATAAATGTGTTACTGTACATATGTTACTGTACATGAGACTGTTGCCATTTGTTTGGGAAGGGATGACACGTTCATGAGATCCTTCGAAAATGGGGAAATCCGCTTACTGTACTATTCTGAAAATAAAGTATTATACAAAATGATCTAATGTTGGTCCAAAAACAAGTAATTATTATTGATATCTGTGTAACAATTGTCTATAAAGGAGCGAGTAATATTGATATCTTTGTAATTATGGTCCAAAATCAAGTAATTAATAAAGATATCTTTGTAATAATTGTCTGTAAACAAAAAATTGATATATGTGTGACAATGACCTATAAACAAGTGATTAGCATTGATATCGGTAATAATGATATATAAACAAGTTATTAATATTGATATCTGTAATAATACAAAACAAGTGATTAACATTGGAATCTGTGTAATAATGCAAAACAAAAGTGATTTTCATTGATATCTTTAATAATGATCTATAAACAAGTGATTATCATTGATATATGTGTCATAATGATCCATAAAAAAGTGATTAATATTGATATATGTGCAATAATAAAAACAAGTCATTTATATGATATGTGTATGAGAATGCAAACAAAACAAGAAATTAACATTGATATATGTAATAATGATCTATAAACAAGTGATTAACATTAATATATATGTGTAAAAATAATTCATAAACAAGTGATCAAGATATATGTGTAATAATAAAAACAAGTGATTAATATTGATAAATGTGCAATAATGCAAAAAACAAGATATCAACATTGATATCTGTAATAATGATATATAAACAAGGGATTCATATTGATGTATGTGTGATAATGATCTATAAACAAGTGATTAATATTGATATCTGTGTGAGAATGATATACAAAGAAGCGAATAATATTAATAAATATGTAATAATTATCTAAAAACACGTGATTAATATTGATATATGTGTAATAATGCAACAAGCAAGATATCAACATTGATATCTGCAATAATGATCTATAAACAAGTGATTAATATTGATATATGTGTACTAATAAAAACAAGTGATTAATAATGATATCTGTTTAATAATAAAAACAAGTAATTAATAATGATATCTGTATAATAATAAAAACAAGTGATTAATAATGATATCTGTATAATAATAAAAACAAGTGATTAATAATGATATTTGTGTAATAATAAAAACAAGTGATTAATAATGATATCTGTATAAAAATGTAAAAAAGACAAGTGATTAACATTGATATATGTGTCATAATGGTCTGTAATCAAGTGATTGATTTCTCTGTGAAAATGATATATAAACAATCGAATAATATTGACATATGTGTAATAATGATCTAGAAACAAGTGATTAATATTGACATATGTGTAATAATATAAAAAGCAAGATATCAACATTGTTATCTGTAATAATGATCTATAAACAAGTGATTAATATTGATATCTGTATAAAAATGCAACCAAAACAAGTAATTAACATTGACATATGTAATAATAATATATAAACAAATGATTAACATTGATATCTGTGTGAGAGTGATCTATAAACAAATGATTAATACTGATATATATATATATATATATATATATATATATATATATATATATATATATATATATATATATATATATATATATATATATATATATATATATATATATAAATATAATGATCTATAAATAAGTGATTAATAGTGACATCTGTGTAATAATAAAAAAGGGTAATATATCACAGGACATAAGTTTAATAGTGATCGGGAAGAGATCGTCGCAAAATACCAAATCCTCAAAATTGCGTCCATGTCCTTTATATAGACAGTTCGAAAACTTTGAACAATGTAGGAGCTGCAATTGATTCGATTGAAACTTAGCAATTCATGTACTGCCAGAAAGAGTCTCGATCCTTCGATAGAATTTGGCTTATATAATACATTTTCAACATATATTTAAAGAGTTGTATATTTTGCCTTTGTGTGATATATAGTTTCATCATTTTGTATTTTATGTTATAAAACTGCATATTTATTTTGGAAGATTTATCTTCCAGAGATATTTTATTTAAAACAAAACAACAATTCTTCAGATTTTGCATTTTTAGAACTTTTCATGTAATTGGCACAAAATAGACATTATTATGCTGAGGTGCCGCTAAGACAAATGCATGCATTCATCATAGTAAATGTTCATAACTAATAAATACAAAAAGATGCAAAGATGGAATGTTTTAAAAATCTGAGGTGTTTGGGTATATATGCATGAAATAGAATCTTGCTTATTATTACAGTTCATTAGATTAGCACATGACGTAGCTTTAAAAAACACTAGGTGTAGGGTTAGAACTGTTGACAGGAGGTTGGGATATGTTCTTGATAACTAATAGTTAAATACGAGGTGGGATTTGCAAATTACATCACATACATATTTATGGCAAAGAAATCAAATCCATTCTACATGGAATAAGATTATATAATTGCGAGTATGAGATCAAGATGAAGGTAATTAATAATGTGCCACAGTTATAACAGCCAATATGACTTGATTATGAAAAGGATATGCCTTTAGAAATGTTTAGACGGGCTGCTAATGATTACTTTTTTTGTGGATTTCAAAACTCGATTAATCAATAGCTCTAGACAGACTTCAATTAATCAATAACTCTAGACAGACTATTTCCATATAAAAATTATTTATCAGAGTTAAAAACGCTGATAAATGGTTACAAAGATACAGTGCAAGCAGTCACAATACTATTGTCCATACTGAAAAACAACGTTAATTCACTAGAAAAAAACAAGACTTTAAATTTATTAGGGTTCAAGACCGATAGCGATGATCAGTCTTATAAACAAAAATAGCTATAAATCCTACATTGAATTTTGAGACACAAAGCAACAAATTATTTTGATAAAGTTTAATCCACATATGTTTGTATATACGTATATGAGTGTATATGGAATATGTGTGTATTTAAGTATATGTGTGTATATACGTATATGTGTTTATAAACGTATATGTGTGTTATGCATATAAGTTTATAAACGTAATTGTGTGTATACACGTGTATACGCGTGCTTGTTTATATTTGGAATTGCTGTTTCTGAGTTTCCTAAAGGTTCAGTGCTGCTTGAAAAGTTTCTTGTACTATGATTTATGGAATATGATATTTAACTCCTTGTTGTATCTTTCCGTACATCTGAGGAATCCTGTATTTGAGTTGGTCGACATCACTACTATTTATTGATTAAAGATGTGTCCGTGACAGTTGTCTTTTCAAAAGTAAGCGTATACGCATATAAGCAATACACACAATGACACCAGCACGTGTTCAATGGAAGTTTATACGCATTAAAACATACTTTGTTAGAATTAATTCAGTTTGTAAATCGTAGTTTGTCACGTTTTTAATAACCATTATTAATGATACCATCAGCACCATAATTGATACCATCAGCACCATAATTGATACCATCAGCACTATCAGTAGATTCATGTAGATTAAAAGTACTGAATCAACAAATTTTGTTCTCTTACTCTTTCACTTGTATAATCGAGTGTCAACGATCTCTTTTCATTTAACTTTGCAGTTCTTTTTCAATTATTGTTTTTGTGTTTGTTTCTTTAGTTATCGATTACTTAAGTAATTTGAACGGATAATAAGAGGTCCGTGTGTTAATTAATATTCGTCTAATAATTAATCCTTCTGCAGTAACACATTGTAAATAATGATCAATTTAGCGACAAATCATGTAAATTGATTTTGATAAAAGTATTGAGATATTTTGTTGCTTGCAATAAGAATAAGATAATTAATAGATCTGCCAATTTTATTTTAATTAATCAATGAATATGTTTATCTTTATGTTTCAATCCAAATATTAAAACATTGTTTTCTTCTAAAGAGCAAGCAAGTTATACGTTTTAGGACTGTAAAAAAAATTAATTTTTTTTAACCTCAATCATGTATTTTATTCCAATATAATAATCCTAAATATTTGA